AACCACGGTCCTTTCGCACAGCGTCCATTTCATCGTTGTTTTCTTCTTGAGACGACGCGCGACTCGAATTCGCGGGAATTCAAATCTAAACATTGCAGCCCGACCGACGAAAAAATTAACGGCGTAAGAATATCTCCTGTCGTTCCCCTCGGGATGGAGGTGGTGCGAAGTCAACAACGAGCTTGCGGCAGGACAGAGAAATTAGTCTCGTTCGTTTGCCGGCAACACTTCGCTGCCGCTGCTGCTACGATACCCGAGCGTAATTTACATGCGCGCAGCCCGGCATAACGACCAACTCTGCCGCCGTCGCGGCTAAAAATGTCAGTTTTAATTAGACGAGCATGCGCCACACGCATATATATGTGCACAGTGTGGTATAACTGTATTTGCGTCTACCTACGTTTTTTTTCTCTGTGTCAGATTTATAAGGGGCTTTTTTTCAGATTCTGCGCGCGTACTAGAAATATTGTATTTTAAGTCAAGACAAAAAATGGGAGCATGTATAGTTGAGCTTTAGACCGCAATTCCAAGTTTCTTGTTAAATTTCGCTCGTAGAATGAATGATGCAAAGAGCTTGCAAATCGAAAAACGACTGAGCTAAATGAAGGTAAGTCTATTATGAGGAAAGATTACTTTTCAATTCCCATCCAAGCCGTTGCATTCATTTACATTGAATTTTCGCACGAAATATCTTTTTACAAGTAGCGCAACAGTCGATTGCAAATCCTTTTGTACTTCACTTTGGCATTACGAATTAAATGAAACTAACATTATATTGCACATAATTTTATGATTCGTAAAATAGTTTATTGTGCTGATCAATGTTTGTTTATTTCATTGAATGAACGTGCAATTTTATTATCTAGTACTAAAAGTATATAAATTTACGTAGAATTATCATTTGACTGTTATTCCGTTGGCAGTCAAATTTTAGCTCACAGCGCTAGCAAACAAAGCTTTTACCTTTATCGAGTAAAATACAATTTAGTATAATTTTAATTTGTAGCCAAAGAGCGAGGTACAGTGTCTGAAGTAACGAGCTTTCGTCCGAAAGAGAGAGAACAGGGAGCAGATAACAAAACTCGAGAGAGCCTTGAATCCCTTTATGTTAATTGGCTTGCGTCACTTCCGGTTTTGGACCGGAGAACGTACCAGCAACAATGTCACCCGTTTTTCTTTCTCGTCGTTGTCGCTGATTAAAACTCACGTCGACACGTAAAAAGAAGAGGCGAGAGAAGAAGCTTCGTTTAAGCCGCAGCGGCGAATCGATCCGTGAATTAACGCTCGAGAGAAACTAGAAGAAAGCCTCTTCTTTGCCATGCAAATTTGGAACAATTTCCAGTCTCTCTCTCTCTCTCTCTCTCTCTCTGTCTCTCTCTCTGTCTCTCTCTCTCTCTCTCTCTCTCTTTCTCTCTCTCTCTATTTCTCTTCTTTGCTACGTTTGGCGCGACGCACAAAGGACAGAGACAGTCTATACAGTACAAAAGTAGGACGCGCGAAAATTAACCGACTCCAGTTGAAATGGTTGAGTGCTGTACAGACTACCACTGTTCGATGATGCAAAGCCAGTGACTGCTCCAAAATGAGAGACAACCAACTCTCTCCAGTAACAACACGCGGCTTTCTACTTTCTCCCAACTTTGTCGCTGTAGTTGCTTTTTCGCCCCCTCCCTCCCTTCTCCCCCGCTACTTTTTTTTAATTTCCAACTCGGTTTCGTGTCGAGTGACAATGACTTTACTGTACTAAAACCAACATTGCATTTTCATAATTATTTTTCCAGTAACAGCAAGACGAAAACACGATGACTTTTAAAAAGAGTCTAATAACATCCATAAAAAATTAAAGCGAAATCTGGTACACCTGTCCACATAATTTTTCATAATAAAAAGAGAAACCTTGAAATATTTTCTCGTTCGAAATTCTTGTCCAGATGCATCTTCAGCCCGCTTTCATCAAAACCTGTAACAGATGAGTGCCCCAACAATCCACAACCTCTAGCCGTTCTATTCAAATTTACAGCCATGCTATTTTTTAAACTCAACAAAAAACCTGAATTCGTCAGCCACTCCCTCACAATCGACAAAGAAAGCGTGTGGCTGTTTGTTTGGCCAGTCGATCAGCGAAACCCCCTTCCCTCCCTCTTCTCACACACGCTGTATGTTTCAGTCCGTGCCTCGACGTGTTATCGCTTTCGCGAGCGCATTACATTCGATAGCCGGAAAACGCGAATTTTTACTTTTTCGGAAAATCTGGCAATGCCTTTTTGCCTCGGTCGCAATCATATTGCGGTGATTTTTTACTGCGAGAGTTGCACTGCTACGAATATAAATTCGTACGAATATAAATAATTTCGGTACTTATCGGTACTTCCGATGAGGGAAGGCATGTCATTTTATTTGAGGAAATGAAATAACGGGTCCGTGATATTGTTTTTGACATTGCTAGTTGGGCGTATTATATTTCGATGTTCAAAATTAATGGGACTTTTGTTTCTTTTTTTTTTCTTTTTTCTTTTACAGAACCCTGTGCAAATTCGGATATCGATGTATAAGTAGTACAAATCTGAAAACGGTCAGACATATGTAGACGTACCCAAAACCATATTAGTTAACTTGTTGATAAATATTTTCACGACAAATATCGATGATACTGTGATAAACAATGAAACATACTCGTTAATTAACAGTATGTAATAATAGCAGTAAAATGTAAGATTTTTTTTGAAAGGTTGAAAAATATTGGATAGACAGAGAATTGAAAATCAATTTATTTGCTCGCCATCGGTCGACAGAGGCAGAGAGAGAGAGAGAGAGAGAGAGAGAGAGAGAGAGAGAGAGAAAGACCGTTACGAAAATAACACCATTAAATAGATTGTGAGCTCACATCAAACACGAATAATAGCTTTCGTGCTGCGCGCGCAGACGACCATTCATCAAAGGAAAAATAATAAGAAACAATCATACGGTGTAATCAATAATTCACCGAGGAAGACAAATCGATTGCAGTGTCGGAGCAGAGAAATCAATAAAGTAGATGCATATCGCAAGGAATCTTCCGGTCTATCGATTATATCAGACGACACGGCGCGAAGAGACACGCGGAGAGCGAGTCCGCGTGTATCGGGGGTCCGCAGAGGAAGAGGAGAGTAGAGAGCGCGCTCACGAAGCTTAAGCAATAACAAAAACGGACAGACTATCGATTTGCCCCCTTCGTCCGTCTCCCAATAAAACATCCGTTCGGCTTTGCGATATTTCCAAACGTCGTTTAGTACGATTTGAAGGAACCTCTGTATGCCAGCTTTCCAACAGGGGACGAAAAAGAAACTACGCCTAAATTTACTCTGTCTAGGTTTATTTGTTGCTGGTTTCGTGCGATATTCAGCAAAAGTATCGCCGGCGATACGAAGCCAATGGTTTTTCTTTGAATTTTGCACTTGCAGCTTCGTCTGCACTGAAATAAAGGAAGCTGGAGAAACGCGTGGACTGCAATTTTGGTAAGCAGTTTTGGCAGTGCTTTGCAGATACTGTCGTAATAATTTGACAAATGCGTCCACATCCATCGAAAATTGCTTAGTTCTGTATAAAAAGTGAACGAAACCAACTATTTGCTCGTTCCTATCTGTTGATCCAAAACAAAAGAAAACCTCGGCAAAGTAGATGCAGGGAGCGAGGGCGATGGTAGTTGACGCAAAGATACAAACGACATCCGACTGGGCCAGCACTAGCGGCATTTTCGCGCTCCTCGCGGCACGTAAACGCATTTAGCATAACAGCTCGTTCACGTGGCATTAAAGTTGGCGTATCAAAAAACTTGCATCTCTCCCTCTCTCTGTTTCTCTTTTGCCGTCGCAATCCATCAAACTTTGGTGCAAAGCAAGACCGTAAAGTGCGGGCCTGGTAAATCTTGCTCGCGAGCGATGCCGTAGAACAAGCCTGGGAATCAATTGATATTAAGTTATTTTTAATCGCACAAGGCTGCTGCCACGTGTACAAACACACGAGCTAATTAGCACTTCGTCTTTCTTCGTTCTTTTTGATTATTAATATTACGACGGTGCACTTGACGGTGCACTTGACGGAGATGCAGAAATTGCACTTAATTATATAATCGGAAATGTCGCGGACTTGTTGAATGACTCGAACGAGAGAGCCGAACGTCTCTACTCATATCTGCTCGTACGACTCGTTAGAATGGCTATGACGAAACGCATCGAATAAATCGAAAACGACTGGGCCCGCCGACTCGGCTCGCTGCTTCATTCGTAATCCTGCGCGAGGTAAAGAGCGCGTTGTCAAATTTGTGCTTTTTCACGAGTTGGCCCTTTAACTAAAGGGTTCATTCTCGTCGCTTTCACGCACAAGAGCGCACAAGAGCGCACTTTTCTACTTCAAACTTATCAATTTCATTCTCATTTTTCTATTTAAATAGCGGTCCGTAACGAATAGAGAGATGACTAACGACGCTATCCAGAAAGTTTTAGGAACAGAGAAAGAGAGCGAGAAAGAATGATACTGTGCTGCGTTATTAATTGAGATCGTCGTTGGATCGAGGAGATTTATTAGTGCTGCTTCGAACGAGCATATCAACAGACTTGAAAGATACACGTACCTTCGTGACGCGTGATATTGGTGTTTCAGAAGACCAACGATTTTATTATACAACAGAGTGATATTCCATCCAAAGTTACAATCATTTGTTCGATTTTCGTTCTGCAAATCGAACGATGAGAATTTCTGTCCACGCACGTGGATCGTAAAAATCTTTCTTTTCTAACGGGAATATAAGATTCGTGGATACTGATAGAAGAGAAGCGTGTTTCAGCACAGCCGTCAGAAAAGTTTGGTCGCAGTGAATGCCTCGATAAAAGTAAAAAAAAAACAATCATTTCTATCGTATGCTCATCGGCGAAGCAAAAAAGTGTGCCATGAGAGTGAAAGGTGCGCGAGGCAGCACTTGTCCTAGCCGCAGTAGCAGCAGCAGCAGCGCGTGAGATACTTACGTTGTCGTAGCTTGATGCAGATATGCGGCGCGATCGATCTCTCGCTCTCCCGCTCTCAGACGCACTTTATAATCGCGCACTCAAATAGGATATATCACACTGGTTGTAAAACGGCACACAAAATTATTCGAAACGGAACCAAACGAGAATAAAGGAAAAGCAGACAGCTCTCTTGGATGACGAGGCGACACACACTTTGACGGTCACGATGATATCTCTCTTTCTTTCTCTCTCTCTCTCTCTCTCTCTCTCTCTCTCTTTCTCTCTCTTTCTCTCTCTCTCTCTCTCTCTCTCCCTCTCTTTTTCTCTCAGCGGCACAGTTTGTAGGCAGTAGCAAACAAACCAAGGGAAAAAATAACACACACGCGAACGAGTATGAGAGTGTCGACGGCGGCGGCGACGAACGACAGGCCCGGGAAGCGGCTTGGCTCACACTGATCATCACATCTACTACTCTACTCTGGGGCTGCTGCCCCCGCTGCTGCTGTAGCTCTGCGCATTGCCATCCCTCTCTCCACTGGTACTTGCGCAGCATCCGCTAACGCGCAGGACCGGAGAGAGCCAGAGCCAGAAGGTTAGTCGACCACTTTCCTCCCCCGCAGAGCGAATCGCTTGCTATGCGGAAACGACCAGACACACTCTTGGCACAGACTTAGCTATACCTCTTTTTTCTATTCTTATGCATGCTCCAAATAATCCTTGAGATTACTCATTTCCAATGTTCATGACGGGACATCGGCGGGCCAAACGAAGTCTCTCGTTATATTTATTTGCTGGTGTGGATTGAATCTTTGATAGGGTTCATCGAAAAAGCTCTTAAACGCTGCGTTTTAATGTAGCGGTCTTCATCAAGAATTTACAAAGTTCTAAGTGCTTTCGGTGAACGTTAGCCTAGTCTATTTCCAGATATCGATTCTCGTTTTTTCAACTATCTCTCTTTCTCTCTCTCTCTCTCTTTCGCTCGCTATCTCGGAATAATCCTCCTTCAATAATCCATCTCCGAATATTTATTGTCCGAAAGTCAGAAAAACATAAGGATACGCCCGCCCGATAGTTCAATTGCACGATGACATCAACGCTGTTGAGCCTGAAAACTTGGAAATTCAGGGAGCGTGCATAAGGGAAAATATTGACTCTGGCGCCCGACGTACAGTTGGAGGATGCTGTTTTAAAGCAATACCACTCGATTAACACGCCGCACTGCTGCTGCTGCTGCTGCTGCTGCTGCTGCTGGCAACTTCTCTTGCTTACTCACTCTCTCTTCTCACGGAAGCGTGCGAGGCAATGCAATTATGGCTCTTAATTAATTGACGAGCTGTGTTTGTGTGTGTATGCGTGTGTGCTTGTATTGTGTATGCGTGTGTAAACCGTTTCTGTTTGCTTTTACTTACATGTTATAATTGCGGTTATTTACGTAATCTTGGATGCGCATATACGCGTGTCTATTATTTCGTAGCTTAAAATCCAATTGGATGCAGTTTAATTTGGCGAGCTTAAAGTTTTGCGGCAGCAGCAGCCTTCTTATCGTTTACAGTTTACATATTGACACTTGAAATGTGCAATGCGAGTAATGAGAAACCACTGTGTATGTATATATGTATGTAGCAAGCGTCGACAGGAAAATGCAAGGAAATGAGGTATCGATATAATTGTAATGAAACAGGTATGTATGTGGCGCAATGTTATTAGGGCCGAACCTTATTTCGTATATGAAGCACTGGAACGAGTATTCCATTTGCGAAACAATGAAACAATGAATCTTTTTCGTTTGGACGAATACTGTACGAATGTCGATGATCTGAATATCGATAATTTTTTTTGGCATTATTTACCAATCAGTTTAGATTGGCAAATGAAATAGAAAAAACATGAATAAAGAATATCTTAAAGTACCGCGGTATATACGTAACGCGCGCGGTAACCGGGAAGGCAAGAACAAACGGCATAAATCGTTGGCAGGGTATAAAGCGAGAGAGTTCTTCTTTGCGCTTACAGTGACTTGAACCAAACATCTAATTCACACATACTGTCGTGTGGTCTGCACACACGCACACACGCCCAGGCCAAAAAAAGGCTGAGAATATTTGAAACACTCCATGTTTACCAATGGCTCTGTTCTCTGTAGCTTTCGTATTTATTATATATTAAGTTTAGTTTGGTTATCAACGATGGACGTTTCTCAATTGGTAAAAATGCGAGTTTCTTTGTTTGCTTTTACTTCTGTAAAAGCTTTATAAATTACAAAGTCTATTGTACAGCTGAAGTAATAGATGCGAGCGAAACTAGACAGAGAAATAGAATAGCTATGAATGAGAAAATCAAGAGCCATGGGTAAAGAGAGTTGCAATTACGGATGTGGGGCTTCTTTTGCCTTGTTTAAGCTACGACAATTTCATTACGCTAATGAAGTCGAAAGTATGGATTTGTAAATCGAACTGTTTCTACCTCTCGCTTTAAAATCGATCTTCCCTATATAAGCAGTTCTTTAGAAAAATGTCAAAAAGCGTGCACTCTCTTAATTTTTTCACATTTTATGGGTAGCTGAAACTATAACAAACTAGGTCCATCACCGGGAACACTCGCGACATCCTTTTTTTGTTCTTAAAAAAAGGAAACGTAATTCATCGCTAGTTGTTCTACGAATTTCATTGAAAAAATAAAGAATTATAACAGTGTTAATTTTATCTTTGAATTAGAATTGTACAAGTTGAAATATATCGGAAACTATATTATAATATATTCATTTTACATCAAAATTGTAACCTTCACAAAGCTTTGAAGACTATCACTGCATAAAATATTTGTTGATAACGAAACTACCAAATCGATATGTTGTAGGCAAAATGTAAATTTTAAAAGCTTTGTACGCATCAATATATTTAGCAAGTAATAAACTCAGATCTTTTTTCCAACGTATTTTAATCCGTAAATGCAAATCTAGATATACGCGCTTTGATAGATTAAATTATTTGCAAGTCTACGACATTTCGTAGAATGATAAAATCGAAAAATTAAGAGTGCTATTGTCAAACTTTGAAAAAAACCGAGCAAACTAATGAAACTTTTTTGGTGAATATATATTCATACGTACCTTACTTCTCAATTTAAATAACCTAGCGACACACAGGAATAATAAAAAAAGTCTATGATTTTATGATTCCCTACATTTCAATTATTTCGTACTAACATAACGTCATTAAAAAAAATAAGTAAGCAAATCCATCCGATATATAAAAAACTCAATCTACACATTAAAATTCTCTGACAAGACATGCCGATCAAGTCTCGCAGATATCGCAAGCAGAAAGATATATATATATATATATAAAGAGAGAGAGAGTGCTATACAGATGCAAAGTACTGTGCGCGAGGAGCTTTCGCAAAATTAACATAATTTCTTCTCGGCAAAGACGGCATTGTCCCTATATAACGCCCGTCCGTGAAGTTTGATGGTTGTATCGACCTAAAATCATCTCATCACAGATACACGCATACGCAGAGTAAAGCTGCGACCATAAAAAAGGATGCGAGCATGGTCAATGTCATCAACGCAAAATTCAACGGCCTGACAGGCATCGAATACGCGTTACGCGTGAATATTGAAGGCAGTCTTCAGTACCTAGATTTTGTCAGAACAGATATAAATGGTTTTTCAGTTTTGGCATACCTCCGTATTATTGCAAATGAATTTTCATACGTCGAATCGCATATTAAAAATTACATTTTCTTTTCCGTAATTCTGCTCTTCAGCTAAAATAACACTAGAAATTACGTTCTCTTTTCTATAAACCTACATTTCAGCCAGAGTAACATTGTTGTTGAACGTACATTTTCAGTCTTTTTTTTTTTTTTCGAGTGTAGTAGAAACTGCGTTATCTACCGATATATCGTATATAATGGAATTTTTGCCTGGAAAAATAAATAAAATCAACTTCATCATAAACAAAATAAGCTTTGGCAGTGAATTTTTGTTAAAAAAAGAGCCTTCCCAGCAAGTAATCTAGTTTACCAGCACGCACTGACTGCGAGCTTCTATTAAACTGAAGTTTATTTTCACGGTCGTGAAAATGCAAAAAATTAAAAAAGACACGTTTTGATTTTCTAATCTTTCGAATAGACCGTGTGAAACGAAACAAGAGAGACAGAGGTTGCGTCTTCGTGGAGACTGGACACTTTCCTATGTACATACATGCATATATTTGCATGCACATATGTACGTGTGAAATAGGTCTCGTAGTGCGGTTAACTGTGCCGTGACTAATTGCTGCTGGGACAGTTTGTTAGTCATTTACAGATCGGCAATGTTTGCACCCCAGTAGCCCAGCCAAGTTTCACAGGACCGCAGATCCTATTTAGATCGTGGCCTGGTGCGAACGATAAGCCACGGAAATCGAAGTGTTCCCCAAACGCGTGTTCGACGTTTAGTTGCCGCGCTTTATCTCTCCGCCCCCCCCTCTCTCTCTCTCTCCCACCCACTGTCTCTTTCAGCGTTTCGTTGGTCGAGCCAAAAAGAGAACGAGTTCACTGTTTTTATTTTTTTGAAGGATCCGTTGTTTATCGCTCCAGTTGCTGATTGCATTTAACTATGATGTCCAGCTATCTACAGTGTCTATGATCTTTTGTAACAAAACAAAAAAAACAAAAGCTTTGTGCTTTTGGCTTGGGTTATTCGGTTTTCGTTGTTGTTAAAAAAAAACTGTAATAAAATGGACTCGCGTAGAAAAATCAATATGATTCAAAAAAGAAATTTGAGATCAATGTTAGCCCCGCAGCATAAGTAAAAGTGATAAAATAACAAATAGTTAGTTGGATTGAAGATAAATAGAGCAGTATGAAATGTTCTAGTTGGCATCGAGCGGTTAACGCTAAAAATCGAACTAATAAATTTAGCGTGTAGCAGTTTATAAAAATCTCTCACCTGCGTCGCATTCCCCATATTCGAAGCAATGCTTATATAATCATCTTAACAAGTCGGTTTAGCACGTAATTTTCGCATTCGTAAGGCTCTCGAGCGAAACTCGAATTCACGGTTGCTTGAACTTTAATTCTTTGTCAACTTGCATCAGCAATTTAAAGTAGCAAAGGCTGCTTCACCAGGCCTCACTGTCTCGTGGAAAAGATGTATGCCGACGCACTTATTTGGCGATCTTCTATCGAGCAAAACTGATTTTTCGAGTAATTTTCTTACGTCGCAATTTCAGCTAATTATGAAAGGTGATCATCAAAGAGAATTGCGTTTTAAATTATATTTGTCAACTGGACGGATAGCATCGTCCAAATTATATATCGCAGCATTCGACATAAGTGCGACAGCAAGAAAGTCCAGAAGAGTGCACTCAAATTCTCTTCCTTTTCACGATCGATATAAACTTCATCCTCTTCAGTGTTTATATCGCGTGTCTTTTCGCTCTCTCTCT